TACGACTAATCTTTGGAGAGCAACGTATACAAAGACTATATCTCCTCTACCAAAGGAAGCCAAATGGAAAGTTCTAGATCATATTATCCCATTTAATACTTTTTCACCACCTAAAGTTAAACCGTATCCTCCTGGACGTGGACTTAAATCTAAAATAATATTTACTGAAGAGTATCCACGATCATGGAGGAGTAGTAGATACGGTGCAATAGGGCATACTCATCAAATTTGTACAAGTCAGATTCTCCTACATAGCAATTCGAAAAATTTATAATATCTATTGTATTTATAGTAATTTATTTGTTGCATAATTATTGTCATCATCAAATGTCAAATGATCTTCAGTGTCTCTGAGCTCAATCGCGTAACATTTTCATAGCCAGGTCGATATGCTAAAGCAGAAAACACTAATAAAAAAAGAGAGAGATTCATTTAATTAAATCAACCCATTACATAAACATAATAAATAACAATGAAAATACTTTTATATCGTCTGTGAGTAAAGCTAACTTCGTCATTACATTTTCAAATCTCTTTCTAGCATTCGGTATCGTCTTATCCCCTATCATGTATCTATCTCTAAAAAAGAAAAAAAAATATTACAACAAGCATAGATGAGTTAGTGTACTTAGCAACATCATAAATAACTTACTTGAATTTAAGGAATTTTGAACCATTCATCGAATGCTTTCTGCCTAATAGGGTCAATCTCATAGAAGAGATTGGGAAACGTCCCATCCACATATGTCATTCTCTTCGCCTCGGTTTTGAAGGAAAAAATGATGTAATGTGATGGCAATCTTAGCCTCTTGTCAACCACCAGCTTTGGCATGTCCATAGCACACTTTGTACCCTTTCATCACCTTCAACACCCATCCCACATGAAAATGACAACCTTCATCATGTTGGGCATACTCTTCTCCTTCGCTATCACCTCTGGTACTCCCTCTATCACATCATCTACCATTCCAACGGTCATAGGTCCATTGCTCCCTCTGTCCCAGGTGCCATAAGATCCTCTATTAGACCCTTTATCTTAAGCACCATCTCATATTCTATTAGCTGGACAATCGCTGACTCCATCACCATCGGGGCCATGCCATTGGTCCCAGGAACCTGTGATCTTTTTTCATACCCTTTATCTTGGGCATTGTTACATAATCTGTTATCTTGATGGTCAATGGGTCATAACCATGGGCGCTATCTCCTAGGCCCCGCTGATGGACACCTTCCAATGTTGGGACCTTCCCCTTCATAGTTACAAAAATGATTTAAATGCAACATTCGATGGCCATGATGAATCATCATACCCTATGGGACACTCTCTTCTAGTGCCTCTACCATCCTCTCCATCTTAAGCATATTCGATCCCTCCGGTACTTGTATCGTCGATCTTTCTGCCATCCCCTTATAGGCCTACTACAATACCTTGTAGCGCTGCGACCTCATTATGAAGGTCTCCTAAATCGGCTCACGACTTTTTGACATCGTGTCATAACTTTGCTACTTTACCCCTAATGTCCCGTCGTAATGCCCCTATCATCTCTTGTAGCGCCCCTATCTTCTATCTGATAACCTTAGTTAGAGTACAAACAAATCAACAAAATAATAACTTTCTCTGGGTGCAAGAGATTCATGGGAAAAGTGTCTAGATTTGGGAGAACGAAATCTCCTTTGTAAAGGTGATCTCCTTAGTAAAGGCAATCGTCGTTTTACTGGATGACGCTCATACACAAATAAGAACATTAGCATTTAATAACTTGATGAAAATATTACATCACAAAATGGTAATAAAAAAATTATATTCAATTATCATACCCTACGATAAGCATTTTTATGCACTTATTTAACTCACAAACATGACTAACTATGCGTAAAGTGTTTGAATTATGGCTTAAATTCATTTAATCCATATATTGTAGGTATATTGGTGGACATGTTGGAATTCAAGAGAAAAAGGAGCGAAAAGGACCAAAATGAAGAAAAGGTGAAAGTTCAGGGATCAAGATGCAAATGTTCAAAAGATGAACCAGAAGAGCAATCAAAGATTTGATCAAGCAAAGTACCAATTGGAGGTTAATATTTGTCGATGAAATGAGAAGAAGAAAGAAACAAGGCCAAAGTGGAAGAGTGGAAAGTTGAAGGACTAAAATGATAATCTTAAAAAATAGGCCTCTATACGTCCACAAGAGATTATTCTATGTTGTCGCGAGCATGGCTACTGAAGCTAAAAGGCCAAAATTTTTATACCTATTTGGTCGCATAGGCCAAATTCGAAGATCAACGCTACAGTCTCCTATTCACGTTAAAACTCTTTTGGAACTTGATGGGGACGCGATATAAAAGCCTAGACTCGTTAGAATTAGGGTCAGAATGCATTAGAAGAGAACAAAACATATCTTGGAGACAAATTTGAGAGAGATTAACGAAGAATTTCACGAAGATTATCAAGATTTCACGCGAAGCCATAACCCAGTGATGTTTTATCTTCAAGAATTCATGTATTCTTTTATTTTCTCCATGTTAGGCTAGATATTCTTGTACTAGGAGATCGATGAACTATGCAATGTGATCTTTGGAATTTTAGTTTTGCAATTCAACAATTAAATGCATTTTTGATTATTTGAATGATTTATATACATTAATTTCTTCCATAATTAAATGCACGTAATTATGTGATATGTAGTGATTTATTTCTTGCATTCGAGAGAAGGAAAATTGATTTGACAAGGTATAAATCATCATAGGGTCCAGTAGGGGATAGAGATATACCTCTATGCTTTGCGTAAATCGTTAATTGCTCATAAAATCCCATGCGTTCTTATATATATGCATCTGTCATAGAGATATAGGCTGGTGATATATAAGAATAGGTTCAATATTGCTCAAGAGATTGTGTTGGATAGATTTAGGATCATTGATTCTTCAATAATTCAGTCGTGTTGTCAGATTGTAAAATTAGGGTTTTAAGTTATCATTACATAGGAATTCGTGATCCTAGTATGTTTTAATTTCATTGAGTAACATCTACTTGCATTCCAACCATCTTATTGCATTTAAATTTAATTAGAAACGTAAATGATAAGAAATTTGTTTTGTTCATAACACAAGAATGGATGTTGCTAGAATTTTGCTCAAATGGACATGGAAGAAATATTGAACTTCACCAATTAACGAGAAAATTGTAATGCATGGATCAAAACATATGTAGGATTTTCAAACCATTAACACATATTTATAGAGTTAAAATGAATCATAATCAAAGCGAAATCCTAATCCGTAGATAAATCTGAATAAAAAAAGAAAAAGTTAAAATGGCGAGAATATCCTTAAATTGACTTAAAATGGGAAATTACTCAAATGGACCGATACACGAAGAAATTTACCTTGAAAGTTTGACAACATCATTCGAAAAATTTGCGAAAATGCTTTGGAGTGTAATCACTCGCGTAAATGTGACACCCAAGCTGAAAGTTACACATGTTTTGTCGCTACTTATTTTTTTTCCTCTTCTTCAATTAGTTTAGTGTTTTCTCTTCTAATCGTTCCACACTATTTCCTTCCATTTTAGAGCAATTCAACCCTAAGTCGTCATCAAGATATGAAGATTTATCATTATCCGAAATATACTCATAAAAATTTGCAACAAAACGTTATAGAAATCATCTTGTGCTTAGTAAGATTAAGGTTTATTTTTTTGCAAAATTTGACAAGGCCCGTAATTCTTCTAATCCAGTTTCTTCTCACTGCCACCACATTCTTTCCTTAGAAACACCATAACCATATCATCTACCTGAAATGTTTTATGGTGTCTATTCGTATCAGCTGTAGCCTTATACTTTGCGTTGCAGCTTCCAACTTTTTCTTTTCCCGTTGAATCACCTCCATATGTTGTTCAACTAGTTGTTTAGTTGTTGCACTCTTTGTCATAGTTGTTCCACCAAACTCCTTTATATCGAAGGAAAACTTACTGGCTAAATTTGTAGTAGTCATAAAAGATATCACTTCAACTTTAAAAAGTTTTTTGTCATATCCTGTCTTTTTAACCTTCCATTTTAACATGTAGGTGTTCTCTATAACCCTATGTACGACATCCACATCAAACTATCATGATTTACCCAATAGAACATAACATGCATCAATCTCAACAATGTTTCAAATAATTTTTGATTTGTAAAGGTCCCCACAAACAAAGGTAACCTAAAAATTCTAGTCACTTGAATAGATAGGCCCTTCTTAATCCAATCAACGTGTGATAAGAAGTTTGATTTTGTTCAGCTGCCACCTTTAGATGATCTACTAGCTTTTTTGCGATCACATTCGCACAACTAAACTATCTGTGATTAGACTACAAAAAATTTCATTGACTTGACATTTGGCCCGAAAGATCTTCCTATGTCGAGTCAACTATTCCTGCTTAGGTGAGTATAAGGTTTTTTGCACTATATACACAAAATCTCCTTGTTCTTTTTCACACACTTCATCGGAGTATTCTTCTTCTGGCAGGTTGAAAATAATAATAATAATAATAATAATAATAATAATAATAATAATAATAATCAATCCTATTAATAATACATGAAGAATTGTTGCCCAAATTTCGTTCGAATAAACGTGAGAAATATTGGAATCTACCAATTAATGAAAAAAATTGATGATATTATTAATCAAAACATCTGTAGGTTATTTAAATCCTTTAACACAAATTTAAAGAGTTAAAAGGAACTCCAATCAACGCAAAACTCTAATTCTGTAGATAAAATTAAATAAAATTAAAAAAATATGAAAATGACGAAAATAACCTTAAATTCATTCAAAACAGAAAATTGCTAAAATGGACTCCTAAATATTGCATGCCATCCACGTGTATGCACTTTGTAGTCCATGCTATCCCATCCACAATTGCTAAAATGATCCACCATGTGACCCGTTCAAATATTGCATGCCATCTACGTGTCCACTGCCACGCATAAATTCCATACATCTCCAATCCAATGTATAAAGATCTGACCATTGCAATTGAATGTTAACCGAGAAATGCAGAGGAAAAATGGCATCAAATCTGAATCCAAGATATGCATACACAGTGGTTTATGTCAGAGATGTAGCCAAATCTGTTGCATTTTACGCCAAGGCATTTGGTTCTCAAGTGCGCCGCTTAGATCACTCTAACAGGTAAAAGACATTGAAATATTATTACAATAAATGACATTGAAATCGCATGATTATTATTATCTTAGAATCCCAAAATCTTAGTGCATGTTTGGGAATGCTTGTCAAGTTTTTTGAACCGTCAGACATCATTTTTATCTATGCATTTGATGATTCACGATTTATAATCTACTACTGTACTCTTTATCGTAATTATGTGCAAATGATTCCAGCATCGTAGAAGTAGATTGGTGTCAAATAGACATTGCCACAAGAATGGTCTTGTGGGGTTCTGTGTGATTTGCACGAATTTCACCCATCTTTAGTCCAATTGAAATTAGATTTTTGGTAACTTTTAATAAAAATTGATGAAATGAATGGTTGAAAAGTTACGAATCTAATTAAACGTGTTATTAAGGTTAATTATCAATTTTAACTTAAAATTCACATCAACCTAAAATTTTTATCAACTTTTTAATCTAAACCAAGCAGGTATTAAATTTTTTTGACATACAATAAAAATGAATACTTAGCACATCAACGGCCATGATTGAATTGGAAGTTGTTTTCTTTTCTTTTTCTAATGATACAATATGACTTCCAAGATTCGAATGATGAGCCTTTGTTCTTTAGCCATATCATGCTACTTAGCCTCGCCTATATAGCACTAATATAGCATTAAATGACATTTTAAATGGAAGGTGGAATTAGATTACTTATTTCATTAACATATTATTTAATCTATATAGATTGGGGTTATAATTTCAGTAGGGTTAAATAACATTACTCTTTCGTGGGTCTCTTTCGAGATCACTATCAATCTCAATTGGTCTTATGATGGCGAGGAACTTTTACTTAAAAATTACCTTTCAACAATGTGAACAACATCACGAAAAAAGTCAACTATGATCAAACTGAATGAAGACTTGCATCCTACATCTCTACCCTGATTTTGCGGATTGGGTCCATTAAAACTGAAAAATATAACCATATGATCTAATGTTTTGTACGTGAAAATATTTGAATCTTGTTCTAATTTCTAGGAAATTACATATGTTGAAAGAAATACATTATTAATTTTGTTGATTGGATTGGTGTAGATGGGGTGAGCTTGAGAGTGGGGAGACCACAATAGCATTAACACCTGTGCACCAACACGAGCCGGACGATTTGAGTGGCGAGGTGCGTATGCCACAATCTAGCCATGAGAGGAACCCGATCGAGGTCTGTTTTGACTATCCAGATGTGGATTCTGCCTACAAGGTTTGGAATAATTATTTCTCCCTTGTTCAGAAATAAACATAACTTCCTTGGGAAGATTTTCAAGCAAGTTTGGCACACTGTGATGTTTTGAGATTGTTATTTGTGGGTGGATCAGAATGCTGTAGAGAACGGTGCCGTACCAGTTAGTGAGCCAGAGGAGAAGGAATGGGGACAAAAAGTAGGGTATGTTCGAGATATTGACGGGATTGTCGTGAGGATGGGGAGCTACGTGAATTCGTCCAAAGCCCATCACTGAACATCAGCCCGTATTCTGGAATTATCCCATCTCATGGCTTTCATTCCCTTCCTTAATGTTTGTACCAATTAAAGATCATTTACTTTTGGAAGTTGCAGCTCGTCATTTGAATTAATCTTTTTAGATTGAGATTATAATCCTCTATATGCATAGTTGGGTTGATTTCCAGCCGTGACAAAGTCGTTTATATTGTGGTTCTCCTAGTTCATGATTTCGACCTAGGGTCTTTATATAATTCTTGTAGCTTGGGATAATTATCTTATATCCATGTTGGATTGTAAGTGCGAAAACATTTAAAATGTGTTTATTTAAATGTTCATAGTCAAGGGCGAAAATAATTTCAATATGTGTTCATTATTCATTGGGATAGTCAATTAGTTATTTGAAGGCACATGAACAATATGTAACGCACAATGGAAGTCTCAACGTATGCATTGTAGATTTATTATAGTTAGAGAATCTCTTATATATGGAGTTGTCTTGTATACAACATGAGCATTATTTAATGAACGCTTTGATCGATCAATTATAATTTTTATAGACCACATTTCAGTATCCTCAAAGGATAAGGAACAACATTAAAGTCAATTGAGGATTGTGTCAGAGATGCTAAAAAGTGATGAATTACATGTTAAATTTAAGAAATATGAATTTTAGTTCGATCTATAAATTTTTCCGACAAGTACATCATTGCACAAGGAATTGAAGTGTATATGACTGGGGTTGAAGCCATGGCTAATTGGTCTAGACCATTTAATGTTGATGAGGCCTGTAGTTTCTTGTGATTTTTTAAAATAAGGGCCTAAATAACTCTACTATCTACGAACGTTACTGCAATTTCCAAATTATTTTATGATGATTTTTGAACTTTTCAAATAGAAAAGAAATAGAAAGAGAGAGATTAGAAACAACATCTATTATAACTTGTCTCTCCAAACTTTACATTTACAATTAAGCTGGTTGTATAGGGTCACATGGGTACAACCAGCATAACCATTACATTTAAGTCCCATTAAGAGACTCAAGATATCATACATGTTATTATTTTTGGTAGTTTGAAAATTTTCACGGATTCAGGGTATAAAGTAACATCAGTGTGCAAAAATAGGTTAATTTAATAAGCTTTTTGTACAATGCAATCAATTTAAAATGGGACAAATTGTATAAAATAAAATAAAAATGAGTAGCTTTATATGAGATTTATCATGAGGATGGTTATATAATCACAATTATATATCTTTTACTATACAAGTTTTTAATTGTATTACAAGAGTCTATTTTTTTCTTTTGTTGCATTTATGTTCCTATCATTTCTTTATCACGCATCTTCAATTTTTCATTAAATAGCATATTTTGTCCCTTTTAATGGTTTACGTTAAAATATTCTATTAGCTTGGTTTGAAATGGGAGACATGTTATGTTGTGCTTTTATATTGGTGAAGGATTGACCCATGCTTCTTGATTAACAAGGTTGACACTTCGTTTTAGTGTCGTGCAAAGAAAATATGGGTTGAGTCATAAACGGATGGCAACTCAGTCGCATTTTTCAGTTCCAAATGACGAATGGGACAAGGATGAGTAACATGGTCACATCCCCAATTCCTTGAACATGTCCCGAGTCATTTTCGCCAATAATAGTGTTATACATTACTCATAACTTTAAATTAGAAGGTGAAAAAATGGGGCAAAAAAAAGTTTATTTAACTTTTTGTTTTAGTTTTATAATTGATTAATAATATTTATTTAAGATATTTATTGTGTAATAATAATGTTTTCAAAATCAGATCCGATTGATTTGTTCAATCCAAAAATCTTGAACTGGTTCCAAAATCGATCAGGCACAAGTCAAAATTGTCTAAGAAAAGGTAGGAAAAGTGGTCAACAATAGATCGATTGATAGCAGACATGGCATAAGTTTACTGGTTGGATTCCTTTAAAGTGTGACATTTCTTTTATGGTAAATGATTCTATTTTTGCATTTAAGAGATGATAAATGAAGATTAGGCTTGAAGATGATAAAATAATAAAAGAAAAGTGGCTCTGCCGAAAGCTTTACCATGTTTCATGGATGAGGACTCACAAAAGTATGGCTGGATTCACGAGCTAGACTTGCAATAGAGTAAATGGATTAAAAATGCACGTTTTGAATTAAATAATTAGCATGTTTGACTCAGCTAAAATTGTTCCATTAATAAATTTTAGAAAAAAAAAATATATGTTTACTTCAATGTTCAAAGGTATAGTTTTTCTTGACCAAGTACTGTGGTCATCCTAATATGGTCCCCGACTTAAATTGTTTGGTCGGCAAAGGTATAGTTTTTCCGACTTCAATTCTTTGGTTGGCAAAGGTAAATTTTTCCCGACGAAAAAAAGTAGTCAACCTATATTTTACTAACTTTGTTTTAAACCTTCACCGGCCCAAATTATGGTAAAAAAATCACTATTATTCCCGGCAAATTCTTGTTGGCTAGTAAAAGCCTATTTATTTCCCGACTAATATGTATTATGTAAAAACCTATTTATTTCCCGACTAAAATGTATTATGGTCGGTAAAAGCTTTTGTTGGCTGGCTTTTGACGACCAACTACCGAACAAGATTTTGTAGTCGGGAATTGTAGTGTGAGTTGCTCATTATATCTTTAGAGATAAAAAAATGTAGTTGATATTATTTAAATTTTCAATTTACATTAGAAAATTTATTACTTTAAATTTTTTGTTGATGTCAAAAAATGACTAGATTAATTTTATCAACTTAATTGATGATTTGTGAGAGGAAATTTGAGCCGAAATAGAATAATTATGCTGGATGAGTGGAATTGAGCTGAAATTGTAATAAAAATAAAGTGTTTGTATTATGTAGAGAAATTTGGGAGTATATACAATGTGTGTTTAGCATGTTTCCTTAGGGAGACCACTACAATCCTTTTCATAGACAAAGATGGGCAAATTGCATGGTTTTACGTCAAATTAGCTACAATGCTGACCTTAATGTGTGTGTTACTGACCAAATTTTTATTATCTATTGAGGTCGGTCTCCATATGTCATAATGAAGTTGAGGTGGAAAGTAATCATTGCGATGGTAAGTCACAATTTGGGTGCCTCTTTGATGAAAATCAAGGGGTTAATTATTCATTCTGATTACGTGTAAAGAAAGATCATACTGAGAATGTGACAGAGTCACCGTAGATTTTTCATGACCATTAGTTTGCACCTATACATTTACTAACTGTTGTTTGTATTTATGATCCATTATACGACATCCAAGTAAGTTAGTTTATTAGGTGTCTATTCAATTAAAATCTCATTTAACTTAGCCTTCTGTTATTTCATGAATTCTGTGAATTAAATATGGATTACATATGTGATTTAATTTCAGTAAATAATATTCACATTTGTAGAATTCTGTTTTCTTTTTCTGTTAATTTACAATGGTACATATTAATTCTTTCCTTTTAAATTCCTTATGTGTTGGATTTAATTTACTTAAATGGCATTTTTTCACTTTTATCCACTAACAAGTGCATGTGGTTAGGTGTTTGTTCAATTCGTTTCTGACTTGGCATCCCCGAAATTGTTTTTTTATTTTTTATTTTATAATGTCTCGGCCATAACTGAGTGATAAGGAAAATTGTTAATATTGCAATATTATTAAACGGATGCCAGCAATTTCCATGAAAGTATGTCAACTTTCTTATGAAGAAGCGTTTAAGGGCATTTCTGTCTTTAATTACCCATTCGTTGCCTATACTAGAAATTGATTAAAATGAGAGACTACTGATTTATAGTAGGTGGAGCAGAATGGACCACCGAACTGGAATGGAACCAAAACTTCCCATTAGAACATAGTCTCTATATGGCAATTCAATCTTGGCTGCAATTGGAGTAAAGTACATTAGATTATTTAAATGCAATAATTAGTCATGACTTTATTTGATATTCACTAATCTGTGCATGCAAGTCTCCATTCTATTTGAAAGTGCATGTGTTTTCTTTAATCAAAATCAATTGTAGTGCAAGAATAATGGCACTTATACATAAAAAAAATTATATATATAATGATTTACATACAGATGATTTATCAAAAAGAGAACTTGAGAGTTCTTTTTTTTTTTTTTTTTTTTTATGGTTAAAGAAATTTTGACCCAATGATATATCACCATATCATGTATATGTAAATAATTATGTACATGTAGCACAATCGGTGGTACAGAGTGGTCTATTTGACCCTGGCAGCATTACTGAATGGTGACAATGTTCACTCTTGATGTAGTGATTGTTCCTTTAAAAGGCACCTTGTGTAGGTCAATACGTGAAATTGGCCTAGTTTGCAACAAGTAGTTGGACCCTTTGAGACCCCAGTTTTGTCCAAAGCCAAAATTAAAATATTGGATCACGTAGTGATGTAGGGGAACATAAAAGGGTGCAGTTTGGTCTTGATAAAAGACTAATTACTTATCATGGAATCACTATTTCACCCTGATTATGGAACCATGGTAGGAAATTGAACTAATTCAATTCTTTGTGACATGTAGATTGCATTGTTGCTGACAAAGTAGGTTCATCTTTTGAATAAAATTTTCCATCCATAAAACTTTAGAGTGGCAGCCATAGCATGAGGTTTCGGCATCCGGTTACAAAGGTTATTTGAGGAACACATGATACCCATGAATGTCGATAGATGTTGATGGCTATGCCACCAATATCATGTGTTATATATTTATATGACTTTGAGGCTATTGTGCCGATACCTAAAGTTGGTTAGATTGCAATACACAACGTTCAATTGGTACTAAGTAGTTTTCATTCAAAGAGGGGCAATTTTTCTTTAATCAACGAACTTAGGATTTTATTTCATTTTAATTATCCAACTTTGATTTGTTACAATTTAATCATCCTACTTACATTCATGGTTCAATAGGATAATTTTGTCAGTAATTATGACAAAAACCATCCATTCCCACAATAACCAACTAAATGTATAACTCTACACTTTCTTAATTCTTAATCAGCAGTTAGTCGAGATTTCATAAAGTCAAATTTAAAGTTCTTAAATTCACTCATTTGAACCTTTTTTATGACCAAAAAGTTTCGATTTCCATATTCAAGTAGGATTACTCATTATCTTCGAGCACGATTAAGAATAATATGAAGTTAAATTACAGGATGAAAATTGAAGTGAGGGACCAAGATGAACTTCCTCTAAATAAATCAAGGATCTAATTCCATTATATAATATAAATGTCCACTGGTTTATAAATTTTCATCATCCTTCTAAAATAATTATACATCCCTCGCGTTAATCTCAGGCAACTCATTACTTCTCTAACTTCGCCTCCGAACTAATTTTTCAGGTATATCTATAGTCTCTAAACAAGTATTATTCGATATGCTTTACCTAGAGGTATTTTTTTATTTAATATTTCTGTTCATATATTTTGAATTTTGTTTGCTGGTTATTGATGTGTGTATATATATATACTTATTTTATTTATTTATTTATTTTTTATTTTTTTAAAATTTTTTAGTAGGAAATATTTTTATAATGAAAGCAGCTTTTGATAATATGATTTAAATTTGTGGAACAAGGATACGAGTAATTGAGTATTGCTACATTTTTTTTTAATGATCTGATCTCAAGATTTAGCAATCAAACCTTTTCGATCCAATGGAAAATTTTGATTATTTAATGTAATTGTCTACCTGCCTAATTAAAAACAGTATTTTTGATAATGGAGAATTCAATTATTATTATTATATTTATGAATTAAAGTACTAAATTGAATTATGTTTCTATGATAATGTAAATTAGGGAGTGGGAAGTAAAGTGACTAGATAATATTTGAAAAAAGGGCTATCGGGGTCCCAGTGACAGAAAAAGTGAATTAGACAATGAACATTGGATTTTTAAAGCACTAAATTTTTAATGACAAAAGAAAAGCTCACAATAACTTTATCGAGAGAAACATAGAATAATTCGGCAAGCACTGATTGGAAGAAAAAGAAAAGTTAGAACTCAATAATATTACAAACTATCCACCTCACATAAAGTAACCCAACTAATTAATGCATGTATAAACGAGGAAAAAGAAAAAGGGCACAAAAATAAGAAATCACAATAAAAAAGGTAATATTAAAAAAAAAAGAAAGAAAAAAAAAAGAAAAAAGAAAAGGTAGAGGATGCATGTAGTCTACTATACCAAGGTAGTTGGTGAGGAATCCGCCGTCGTTCCACAGGTTTCCGGAAAGGTGGTACGATATCGTTCCTTCCAAGACTTCGCTAAAGACTTCCTAGCATTCCTTGTTTCACAATTGATTTAAACAGTATAAAAACCAAAGAAGGAAGTATGCCCAAATCAAACGATCAAATACTTCTTGATTCCATCGAATTTTCAAAACTGATTTAAAATTAGATCCAGATGATTCTTTACAAATATCATGCTTGGTTGATTCCAAAAAAATCGATATCGGATCCAAAAGAACTAGACAAATCCAAACTTTTTACAATGACTCACATTTTCTTCATTTAAACACAATTTCAGGAAGTTCAAAGGGAAATATCAACAAAATGAATGACATCACAATTCTCAAACTAAATTAAAAGGCAAAAGTCATAAATAAACTAAAAGATAACGTTTGAACCCGTGAACAATTGAATGTTGTACCAAGTTCTCATAACTCGTAGCTGCTTCACAAGTTCATAAATATAGTTGGCATATTAAATCAAGAAAAGATGAAATAGCGTTAAAAGTCTTTCGACGTTTCTTTTTACTCCATGCACAATAAACGGGTCGCAAAGTCTAAGTAGATCGAAGGAAAGAGACAAAGAGTTGTAGTATACCAGCAAAACTCATGCTCTGTTTATTCTCTTTGAATCTCGAGTGATGACTACTTTAAGCTCTTCATTTCCCATTTCTTGTTGTTCTTCCTGAATTTCCACAGCAGATTTTTCGATAGATTCTGTGCATCCGTATACCTCAATCTTCTGTAAGGTTGAAATATAACCTAAACTGGATGGGATCTTATCCAAACATTGGCAATATCGCAACACTAATCGTTCTAGTTTGGGGTAATCATCACTTGTGGGATTCCATTCTGCATAGAGATAACTTTCAATTTTCACATCATTTAGCTCGAAGAATTTGAGTTTTTGGAATTCACCTTCTTCTGTGTCCCATTGCTCTTCCTTGAAGGAACCACCACGTAATTTGAGAACCTCTAAGTTTGGCAATCTCCCAATCATCCGAATTTTTTCCCACGACAAATCAAAACCCAATAGGGTCAATTTTTTGAGATTCAAGGGAAAATCAGGACCTGAATCTCCCATCAAACTGATGTTGAGAGATTCAAGTTGATCGGGGAATTCGAAAGGACATTGAGACACAAACTTGCATTTCAATTTGCGGAGATTGGGAGCACATCCCCAAACTTTTGCATCCATTTCATTATAAATAAAAAGTAAAGAAATAGATTGTAGGTTATTTATTTGGAAGCTCCCATCCGCAGTTGCTCTTAAATGAGAAGATTCCCTGAAGCGGGCACCACCTTTAAAATGCAGATGTTTCAAATTCTTCATGTTAAGAATGAACTCAGGTATTTCAACTATACCATAAATGTTCACGTGAAGATATTCTAGTCTCTGGAGTTTTTCTATTAATTGCAGTTTAAGTTTTCGTCGAACTGCCAAGTACCTCAAGTGAACCATGTTTTCAATTCCTCCACTTATATCTAACTCAGAGTAAAAATGTGGATACCTTCCTGGTCCCGACAAATCCATGACCCTGCAACCTAACTGAGAGTGAACATGTGGATCAAATTGTCTTGGGAAACAAAGACGCTGCCTATCCAAGATACTCATAGCTTTCTTATACTTCGAATATCCTCTGAAGAACCAATGTGGTGACAACAAAATCACATCCAATCATCATCAGAAATAAAAGCATCGTTAGTGTGACCATCAAAGATAGTTACATTATCAATAATCTAGATAGAAATAGAAGAAAGTGAACGAGGAAAGAAGAGAGACAAAGAACTTACTTTTCGATCTCTCCCATAATGTTTTCTTCTTTAGCCATCCTCAAGCATAAATCATGCAATAGATCATGAATCATGCAAGTTTAGACTCCACCATTTGATCTTTCTTCAGCAACTAGTACCAGACCCCTATTAATTAGATCCATTAGATAATCGTGTGCCACATCCTCTGAGCTCCTGTGGTTTTCTTTGTTTATAAACCCTTCGGCAACCCATAGAGATATCAACTTCCGTACTGGGATTGCTTCATCTTCTTCAAATGCTCCAAAGTATAGAAAACAAGGTTTCAAATCAACTGATAAATGCTGGTAACTAAGTTTCAGTATGTGGAAGCAATTATTTGTGCTGTCAAATATGCGTGCATTTAAATGTCCAGATATTTTTTCCCATGAGCTGCTTTTCTTCTGCATATTTGCAAGAATGGAAGATATCATAATGACTGACAGAGGTAGACCACGACATCTTGAGGCAATATGCTGACCAATCCAAAGCAATTTTGGAGGGCAAGGTTCTGTTTGGAACACTTTCCACGGTAATAATTCCCAGCATTCAGCATTTGATAGGAAAGGAAGTTCATTAACAACATCACTGAAACCCAATTCTTTGTTCCGAGATGTGAATAAGATTCTACTTCCTGTTATATCATCTGGAAAATATCTTTTCAAATCGTCCCACGGTTTCGTGTCCCATATATCATCCATGACAATGAGGTGTCTCAGTCCTTTTAAACTTTTGTAAAGCATTTCAGCCAATTTTTCTTCCTCCATTTCCGTGATTGTTTCTCTATTATGCTTTCTTGTCGATGTCAAAATGTCAATCAATACATTTTTCTTCTTGTATGTTTGAGAAACCACACACCAAGCACATTTGTCAAAATAATGGACAATGAAAGGATCATTGAACAATTTCTTTGCTAAAGTAGTCTTACCAAGTCCAGGCATTCCAACAATGGAAATAATTTGTTGCTTTAGTAGTCCACTGGTGAGTTGATCAGCAATTTTGGTTTTCTCATCCTTGAAACCCACAAAACCGTCTTCCAAATTGTCCAGTTCTTTAGCTTGAGGCGGTACTTGCTCACATGGATATTCTTCTTCTGGTATTCCAGCGTCAATACTACTGCTCTTCTTTTTTTGTATTGCCATCTTAACAAGAAGAATCTTCTCTAGGAGTTGAGAGAGCCTGAGTGTGAGATACCAGACAGGAGTAACCGACTCGATAACATATGAAATTTCATATGCTAAGTCTCTGGTTTTCTTCGCAATCATATAATTGAGGGATGATCTCAACAACGATAGCTCCTCGTAGAGCATTATGATTTGATCCATCACGGGGACAATCCTGTGAGCCTTATAATTGATCAGGTCCTCGAGATCATCGAGGAGAGAATCCACAGTTAAGAACGAAATCACACTACTCTTTGTAGCGAAACAACCTGACAACTTTGGGACTGTGATGCAGTGCTTCTTGATCTTTATTTTCAAGAGCTCAAACTCTTGTAAGAAATCAGAAAGAGAAAGACTATATCTTCCAGTCGCCAGGACTATATCATCCCTTGTTGAGAATATTGAATATAAGAAACTTCCAACCTCATTGACAACGACTTTGATATCTGACAATATATTCTTGGTTATGTCCACCTCATTGTGTAGGGGTGCATCTCCAAGAAAGCTGATTAAGAATCCAAGTTCTGTCTGGAGGTTTTTGATTGAACCCTTGACTGGAACAATGAAATCTGGTTCAAGGCGCATTATTTCTTCTAAAAGTTGGAGGAGAAAGTCGATAAACTCCATAACAACTTCATTAAGATGGGGAGCAGGAGTAATCTTGGACATTCGCTGCTGTGGGATTGTGAAGACTACCCTCAGATCTTGCACAAGTGACATCAGTAACTCAAATAATTTTCTGTATGCCCTAAAATTCTCGAAAAGGACTGCTAAAAACTCGAAATTACCTAGTAAATAAGTTTTTTGGTCATAATGGAAGCATAGTTTTTCCATATACGCAACGGCAATTGGAACAAGTATTCTCTGTCCAACAAATGTTTCAAATTTTTCATCTCCTTCGAGTGAATTTTCGATGAGATTTCTGAATTCTCTATCTTCCAGAATTTTTCTGAGAATTTCTTGAGGGGGATCCATCTATCTTCCTCACTTTCCACCTTTTCTTCAATTTTTGAGGTTTCTTTCAATTTCTTAGTATGAATCAGTGTCTCTTTATGGAAAATAGGGGGGATGGACGAATTGCAGGGGAAAATGTATGTATGATTGTATTCTACTCAAGAAAATATATTTATAACAAAAGTCCAATCTTCAATACAAACTCTAAACTAAAATATTGAATTCACGGTTTCTCATAGGATTAATAACTATAGAATTTGAATATAGAATTGCCGACAACTGGAGACAGCGATAATTGTATTAAAATGAAATTAAAGAAAAGCAGAGTTCAAACGAGGATCTTCCAATGTTCACACCATGTGGTATATAGGAGTTTAAGCAGTCCGATTTTTGATAAATTTTCAAACCAAATCGTTTAAACCAGTTTGAGAAAAACTCAAACCTAAACCAAACCATTTTGAACGGTTTGAAAAAAAACTCAAACATAGACCTAACGGTTTATTCCGGGTTCAAACCGCCGATTTCTTCGTATATTTTTTTGTCTGTCTATTTTTGCGACATTAAAATTTTTGGGACAAAAAAAAGAAAATTTGGACTATTATCCCACAAGTCCAATTGTATTTATTGACCTATTGTTTCATGCGTGGGACCCAGCCTCCTCTCCAACGATCAATTTTCCATTATGATAACATGGAATATATGACTTAAACATGGGCTAAATATATCTACTATAAATTTAAACATATACTAAATCAAAGTGAAATTACAATAAACTAAAACATGATTTCTTTTTTTCAATTTTGTTCACCTTTTATAGTTTAATAACGTTATGATAACGGTACAATACAAGTCTACTAAACGAAATATAAAGCCCAAAAAAATAATGATATTCAACTAGACCTCGTGATCATCATATCTGAAAAAAAAAGTTATTTGTTAGACAAAGAGAATAACTAACCACAATAATAAAATAGTTGTTTATAATATCTAAATATAACAATTACACAAGTTTACGTTTATATGTTGTTACGAAACACATTTAATTTCATATCCTTACCTCAATTTGCTCAAAAATATTATTGATTTGAAACTTTATTTGGAGCAAATATTATCTCCAAAGACGTAGGATCTCTTTGTCTCCGATTTGGTATAATGGACTACAATTCAACTTTGAAGATGAGTAAAAAATCTGAAGAAGAAGAGTGTGTGGTGCTTGTGGCTCAAGACTGTGTCGGGTGTTAGCTGGAATTTATATGAATTTTGAAGAGGAAAATGGTTTTTGATAGATTATGTTCGTTTTGAGGTTATTATATATAAATTAGGATTATTAGGTAATAATAATATATATGTATTAGAAAAATAGAAATTGACAAAAATACTCACAAATGATAAAACTATTGAATTTTACATATTTGGATAAATTTTCAAAAAATTTCATTTTTTCATTTTTTTATTTTTATATATTTTTTGCCGGTTCGGTTTCGTTTTAAACCCAATTGAAATTCTCAAATATAAACCAAACCATTTTGATCGGTTCGGTTTGGTTCAAAACCATTTCGTTGGCCGGGTCCACGTGGCACCGAACCGACGGTTTCTAAAATGCAGTTTCGATCCAATTTTTCGATTTTGCGGTTTTTGCTTAAAGCCCTAGTATATAGGTGTAATAAGTGATTTCTGCAAACCATTTTTTTTAAATAATAAAAATAAATCAATAAACTACATGAAGGAGAAAAAACATAAAACAAAAACTATGTGAACACATGGTTTTCAACTTTCACATTCAATAATTAGGTTTAAACTTATTTATTCAAAAATCATGTCATAATTCAATTTTTTAACAATAATATTATTAAAATCACTCTTTATACTCCTCTCTACACAACAATCCATCTTTTCTCTCTCTCTCTCTCTCTCTCTCTCTCTCTCTCTCTCTCTCTCTCTCTCTCGAGATCCATCCGACCACCGTCATCAGAAGCCTCCCACTACCTTCCCTTCTCCTACCCCGTGTAGACAAGGGCTCCTCATTTTGGATCGATAAAGCCCATGCATGTGCAATAGAGAAGCTCATGTGCAAGCATGGGCACTTTTCGTGCCAAATGGAGACAGCTTTCCTTATGTAACTTAAACTCTTTTAGAATCCAATTTGGACTCGTCCTTAATTTTTGATGGCTATAAATACAAAATCAAGGGATCTCTCTCACCTCTCATATCACCTCTAATATATGTAGCGACTTGTTATTTGATACATGAGACAATAAAAAAAAACTATATTAATACATCAAATAACAAGATGCCATATGTATGTCACTTAGAACGACTAATCCTTTTTATAAATATCATTACTCTTGTTTCGTACACAAATGTATGCAAATGAAAAGGCTCGAACGAAGTCAAACACCTCTTTGAAGTCATATTCCATGGACATATGTACACATTATTTAAATCCAACATACAGCACTTGGAATAAGTTTTGAGCATTAATGAATGCAAATGGAGACCCAATAATAGAAGAAACATGAATAAAATTCGTTTTACTACAGAACACAACATTTTATGCAGTAGAAAATTTTTATACCATCTGAAAATTAATCTCATATATATGCAACACGTGAATTTGATTCCTGAAATAAACTCACAAAGCAATCCGATTATTGATTACCAAATATTCAAGTTTCACTTTCTGCTAGTCAAACCGTCAAACTTATTGCAGGCTCAGTTTAATTCAAACACTTCGTAATGGAAGCAATAAATATGTCAAATTAAGAATGCATACATTATTAGAGGTTCATCGAATGTTTATAAGCAGAATGTTAACAGTGATTCATGCACAGAAATGAAATATATATATAAAATGAAAAAGAAATCCCTCTTTAGATTGTTAGATAAATTGGTGAATAATTTATATTTCACTAAATAAAAAAACTTCCATGCAAAGGCGATTAAACCGTGACTTAACAAACGAAATTAAAACGTTGTATGCAATTGCAAATCACCTTAAAATGGACTTTGTCCCCGACACTGGTGCTGACAGGATAAACTAGATGTATATTTTCCAAGATATAACACTACTTCCAAAATTAATATAGCATAGTATTCATTTTGTTGAGCGAACCAACACTTGACCGTACTCTTCTAGAATAAAAAATATTGAATACTAAATATTAAACATAAAACTCAAATATAATTTAAAAATTATTTTGATAGAATTTGGAGAGGGAATGAATTAAAAATCAATTATTTGAAATTAATTTGAAGTGAAGAAAATGGAATTAGTAGGTTCATATTTATAAATTTTCACGCGTCCTTTTGTATGGTTACATCTTTCGACAGAAATTAATTTTAACGATTAGATATTACCATATGAAATTTATTGGTATAGATAGCACTCTATCAAAAGGTCACACTCATTCCGAAACAATGTAATTATTTGATATGAATCCTTTACAATTAGAGTGTTCTATCTAGTGATCACATCCATTGAATACTTTATAATTTACACATTTAAATCGTATATATGTTAAACCATGAATTCCAATAGGACCATCTCCACATTCAGCATCCACAATGCATTCAATTCAAACATCGCGGTTACTCTTGCATCACCATCCAATCAAAATAAGTGCTTCATTTTAATGAAAATGTTTTAGCTAACGTTGTAACAACCCAATTTTTAAAGATTTGTATCGCTACCAAATTTTTAAAATAATTTTCTTTGTTTTTCTTTTTTTTTTTTATGCAAAGCCCAAAATTTATATAACATCGTCAAAATTATTATTATTATTATTATTTTATTTTTTTGGGTAATGTTATGCGGGTTGGAACGTGACCAGCACGTTGAGTCTTCTTTTTTATATGGTAACTTTAACTTGGAGTTATCTTTCTGACAAAATCCATGTGGTGGTGGAGTGTTCTTTCTTATTATTTAAGAATTTTTTTCCCCCTCTCAATGCAAAAGCCCTGACCTGACTCCAAGCATCACTGTACATATTCATGCACCCCTCAAAAGTAACCTATACCATAAAATATTGCATAAAATGCACATCTATCCAGCATTTCCGTTAATAGAGAAAAAAAAATGCAGATCATGTCGGTTTTTGTTTTTTATAGACAGTAACATGGGCACTGTTAATGCGTAATAGTAAATTTATTATTATTTTTTTAACCTCCTAAATCACATAAAATCATGATTGCTCGATAGAAAAATAAACCTATGATATCAAACTGTAACAACCTAAATTTTGAAGATTTGAATCGCTACCAATAAAATAATTTTCATTTTTTTATGCAAATCCTTCGATTACTTATAAATGAATAATAATTATCACTAAATAAAATTTTGTTTACACTAATGTAAGATAACACTTAAGGGAAATCAAACAAATTAATTCAAACCTTTAAATAAAAGCACAATTTAAAATATCCATGTAACAAATAACATATACAATTATTCAATAAAAAATAAGTGTCTATGGCAACAAAATTAAAATAAATAAACTCATGTGCTAAATTCTTTGGATTTTCGTCCAGCAAAATGGGGCACAACCACTCAATTGAATCGTCACACTTCAACACGACTCGTTCTAACCCGTGAAGAGTAGGGAAAAATGGTGAGTACATAGGAATACTTAGTAGAATATAAAAATTTATGGTACAATCTCGAGTAAAAAATTTGAAAAGATGTATCAGAATATCATACTGACTCATATAATTGGAAACCAGTAAGAGCTTATGTCATTTGTATTGGAATGACCATATCATTCATATCATAGCTTATTGTATCGTATCTTTAGCTTTCATGAGTACAATAATTTATCAACCTAAAAAGAAAATTTAACTTAATAGAATATATTGCATCTCGATACTCTACACCGTTAACTTGCTTCAATTTTTGGAAGACAAAACAAAATTCACATGCCAAAATGTTTCCAAATTCTCCAATTATAGACGTGAACAATTGTTGCAGCAGATACAAAATTAATTCTGTAGTGTTCTGCTATGTAAGCATATATATTCTAGGGAAT